GAAGGGAAAAAAAAAGGGGAGAAATCAGAGGGGGAGACGAACCATGAGAGACTATGGACTCTGAGAAACAAACTGAGGGTTCTAGAGGGGAGGGGGGTGGAGGGATGGGTTAGCCTGGTGATGGGTATTAAAGAGGGCATGTATAAATGGAGCACTGGGTGTTATTTGCAAACAGTGAATGATGGAACACTACATCAAAAACTAATGATGTAATGTATGGTGATTAACATAACATAATAAAATAAAATTTTAAAAAAATGCAAACGTAGTCAATCACTCTATTCATATTACCTACAAGGAAAAGGAAAACCAACCTAAAACTAACGTTTTCCTCATATGTAGTCAAAAAGAGAACAATACACGATACTCAACAGTATTTGTATATTAATAGATTTCGCAGAGCTATTTGCTACAGCGGCTCTTAGCATGGGCCCATGATCACATGATGCCAAATTACATTTAATAAAAGCAGTTTTACAAGAGAACAAACCATATGGCCCAGCTGTGTGGGTTTTTGCTCATGTGGTTTATTTCAAGGATGGATATTTTTATATTTCGAGTAACACTTGAACTATATTTCACTCAGGCAATCCTTTGCAAATTTTGGTCGTCTAACCAAGTATCTGATGAGTATTAAGCAGCAGTGGATTCAAGGTTATAATCCTTGGTCAGCACTAAGGGTGCAGATCGATCAATCTGCTGATTAAGTAGTGGAAGTGCCAAACTCCCTCTGGGGATGGAAAGGATGCAGATAAAAGGGAGCCTGAAATCTTAGCTGTTTTAGAAAATTGTGGCAAAATACACATAACATTGATCATATTAACCAACGTTAATGTACAGTTCAGTGGCAGCAGGTCCATTGGTTTGTGATGTTACCATCACCACCACCCTCCACGAAACTCCCCATCTTGCTGGAGGGATCCTCAGCAGCCATCACACAAGAACTACCCAGACCCCACTCTCCCAGCCTAACCATCCTCCTCCTATCTGTCTGGATGAATTGGACTACTCCAGGTAGAAAGTGGAATCATAGAGTATAAAAACATGAAACAAGTGGAATCAAACAGTATAAAAACATGGAACACTTCACAACTTTGCATGCGCTCCTTGTAAGGGCGCCATGCTACTCTTCGCTGTATGGTTCCTATTTCAGTCAATGTGCCGTTGACGTGAGCATGTCAGCTGGTTTTTGAGGGGAGGACAGGACGTCATACGAAGTTAGGGTGGTCTAATGTTGTTTTCTGTGTTGCTGAAGACTGAGGTGAGGAGGGATGCTGGAAGATGCAAGGTTAAAGAGGAAGGAAGAAGCCAGAAGCCCACGGGCTTGATAAGGTCTGTTTAAGAGCTTGAACTTACATGCTGTGAAAGGGAATGGAGAATTAGTTCGTATTTTAGAAAAATTAATTCCAGAAAAATAAAGGGAGGCCTGGAAGAAGGTAATAGTTGAGACAGAAAGACCAGTTAGAAGGCAATGGCGAGGTGCACCTGGGTGGCTCAGTTGGTTCAGCGTGAGACTCTTGGTTTCAGCTTAGGTCATGATCTCAGGGTGATGATCTCAGGGTCGTGAGCTCAGGGTCCTGAGATCGAACCCTGTGTCTGGCTCTGCACTCAGCAGGGAGTCTGCTTGAGATTCCCTCCCTCCCTCTGACCCTGCCCCCACTTGCACACGCACACTCTCTCTCTCTCTCAAATAAATAAATAAATCTTTAAAAAAAAAAATAAGGCAATGGTAACTATCTAGGTAAAGTTTTTTTTTTTTTTTCTTTTTTCTTTTTTGTAGATTACTAGAGTGTTAGGGTGCTTCTAACAGAATTGTGAATTGGGAGGAAAAATGTGACTGCTCTGTGGATCTAGAGCCCTTAGCCACAATCTCCCCTTTCAAGGTTAGAAGAAAACTTTTGACATTTTAGAAAATTTTACATTTTAGCAAAGGATCCAGAAAAGCCATAGTCAAATCTAAATTCACATTTTAATCCAGGAAAGCACTTTTGGGGTGGCATTTCTTCCTACTGATCTGTCTCCTTCCCCTTTTCACGTGGTATGTGTAGCAAGTTAGGTGTGCTAATTCATGAAGTGTATGATTTTTCCGGAATCCTATGTGAATCATTTGGCTTAGAAATTTGTTTTATTGAGATATAATTGACAAATAATATTGTGGAGGTTTAAGGTATACAATGTGTCGCTCTGAAGCATTTATATATTGCAATATGATTACCACTGTTATCTTTTCTGTGGTGAGAACATTTAAGATGTAATCTCTTAGCAATTTGAAGTGTATCCAACAGTATTGTTGACTATAATTGCCATGCTGTGCATTAGATCTCCAGAACTTGTTCATCTTCTAGTTGCAAGTTTATACCCTTTCACAACTTCTTCCCGATCCCCCCACATCCTAGCCCCTGGTAACCACCATTCCGTTCTTTGTTTCTATGAGTTTGGCTTTTTTAGATTTCACATGTAAGTGGTATCATACAATATTTGTCTGTCTGGCCTGTCTCACTAAGCATAATACCCTCAAGGTTCATCATATTGTCATATTGTCACCATCTTGCCATATTATGACAAATGGCAAGATTTCCTTCCTTTTTACAACTGAATAGCACTCTACTGTGTGTATATTTACATATAATAATTATATTTGTATATGATAATATATAACATATATAACTATATGATAATATAATAATAAAGAAGTGTACCAAAATGTCTCAGAAACTGAAAGAACCTGATGAAATACTTAAGAATGCCATTTAACTCATAGTTAAAACCCCCAGTTCCTACTACTATTTCTCCCTGGTCTTAAATGTCTTCCTCCGTTCCATCTAACCTCTTCTCTTCTGAGTCCTAACCATGAATGCTTGGGTAGTCCCTGGGCTCTGTCCACAATATCATCAAACACACACATATTTTTAAACACCCAGATCTGATCTTGCAGCCAAGCTCTTTCACAGTTATTTTGCAAGAGAGGAAGTTTCTGGAATTTAAATGGATGCCCAAGAACACAGAGCTCTGAGCACCAGGCTGGAGCGAGAGCTCAGATCTTCCGGTCCTTTTCCCAGAGTTCCTGCACCTCCTCTCACCTCCTTCCTTGTATATATACTGTAGATACTAATAAAGTTATTTTGCCCCCCAAATACAGTAAAGCTTGAACAGAATCTTGGGTCTGTATTTATAGACAGAAAGACTTCCACCTCGAAACCGTATTTACAAGGTACATAAAACTTACTCTTCTCGGCAACAAAGTTCAGTGTTGCAGAACAAGTGCTCTTAACACGGAAGTTGTCAGTCTTTAAAATCATTTCCCTCTCTTGGATCGTTTGTGTATTTCACTCCCTCTTCAATCTGCAGCAAGAGGCATTTTTATTTTGTTTTGTTTTTAGCCAACATTTTCATAGTTTAACTCATGTTGCTCAAATACGTTAAAGGAAGATAACCTCATGAAGATTAGCACTGTTTATATTTTCTTTACACCATGTAAAATTTATAACTAGCAAGAGAAAAGAATGATCGAGTGCATTGATTTTCTGCTCTCCAGTCGAATTCTTGTTTGATTTTCATATTAAATTTCCAAATTCTACATTGAAAAATTTAATGATTTAAAGTAATGCATTTGAGTAACTGCTGAAGTGTGAATCCATGCAAAATTATAATAGGAAAGTCATGGAATAGATAAACATTTCGCTTTTAAAATTAGCAAGACCTAAAAGATATTCTGTTATGTAATTTATCAAGTAAGAATTATTAGACTTAGGGGCACCTGGGTGGCTCAGTTGGTTAAGCGACTGCCTTCGGCTCAGGTCATGATCCTGGAGTCCCGGGATCGAGTCCCGCATCGGG